CTCTATGAGTTCGAGGCCAGCCTGGGCTACCAAGTGAGCTCCAGGAAAGGCGCAAAGCTACACAGAGAAACCCTGTCTCAGAAAAAAAAAAAAAAAAAAAAAAGACCTGAATTCAAATCTAACATTTGGAGGAGGACACAGGTAAATCCTGGGAACTAAACAACAAAAAAGAATTTATGTCAAGTAAACGCCTTTTGGTTGTTTTAAGATAGGGAGAACTGGCCTCCAGTTCAACATGTACCTAAGGATGACCCTGAACTCCTGATCCTCCTTCTTCCACGGCTGGAGATAAGAGGAATTATATAAAGGAATGAAGGCCTAGATTAGGGAATCTGTCTTCATTGTGAAGGTCAAGGAAGTTCTAACAAAGGAAAAGCTTGAGGTAATATCCAAGGCTAACAGAACAGTTAGGGTAGAGAGCGTCTGCACGGCACATAGACAGAGACACACACAGACTCTCAGGACACAAAACAGCCCGTGGTGACAGGCCCAGTATACTTCAGAAGTGTAGGGTAATAAACAGGAAGTAGAATGTAATTGATTCATTATTCTGAATGAGTGAGTTTATAGAGATAAAAGTGCATGGAATAATCCCTCTGTGCACTGTGAATATATATTACTCTCATTGGTTAATAAAGAATTGACTGGCTGGTAGCCAGGCAGGAAGTATAGGCGGGACAACAAAACTAGGAATGCTGGGGGGAAGAAGGGTGGGGTCAGTGGAGTTGCCAGAAGACAAAGAAGGAACAAGACATGCTGGAGGACATAGTAAAGCCATAAGCCACGTAGCAATACACAGATTAATAGAAATGGGTTAGTTTAAATTGTAAGAGCTAGTTAGTAATAAGCCTGAGCTATCAGCTGAGCATTTATAATTTATATTAAGTCTCTTATGGTTATTCGGCAGCAACTGCTGGGTCACAGAAAAACTCCACCCACAATAAAGAATACCACATGTTGACTTCCCAAGAAAGTCACATAATCCATTCTTAAACTTGACTTAAGCAAGTGCAATGAAAACAGCATTAACCTATTCAAATGATGGCAACATTAAATACTCTAATAGTTAAACATGAAAAAATTGTTAGTAAAGCCTCAGTGATTGCTAAGTCATTTATTTTAGCTGTTTACTGTTTATACTCCTCTGACTTAGGTCCATTACAAAATACTCTACCATTGAATTCACAGTTATACATAGCCAACTGTGAACTATTACCAAGTTCCTGATTATTATTAGTCTTACTTGGGAGGTGGAGTCAGATCAGGAGTTCAAGACTAGCCTCGGTGACATCATGAGATAGAAGCAACCTGAACTATATATACATGAGACTCTGCTACAAAACAAACAAGCATCAGCCTAAAAGAATTTGCTCATCTTTGGAAACCAATACAGGCTCAACAGTTGGGTTTCCCTGAAGGTGCCGCACACTCAGCCCATCGGCGGCCCTTCGGAAGTGCCCCCTTACACGGCTAGGATGTATTTGCTCTCTCCCATTTCCCAGTCTCCTTGTATTCATTCATTTCCCAGTCTTTGTCTCTAAAAGCTGCAACAGCAGAGCAAGTAGCTAAGGCCTTTCTGGTCTTCGCGTATCCCTGTAATTCCCAATACCACGTGGCCGTTGTTTCTCATGTGGCTGCTGGGCTGACAGTCTGACCTTTCACAACAACAAGGGGAAGTTACCTGGCAGCGAAACCGTTCATTCTTGCGAAGAGCAGTCTTAGGACTTTCTCCTTTTGCTCCCAGGTCAAGTCTCCAATATCCACAGGTTTTTGAGTAGTTGGCCTGAAGAATTTTTTAAAAAGGTTAAAAAGAAAATGTGATCAAAGTAAACTTATCTTCTTTAAAAAAAAAATACAAAGTATGCAAATAGAAAATTTCTATAGCATAACCAGATACTGTGTATGATTTCAAAGCAAACTATGCACATTACAAAACAATAATATTTGAAAAGGATTATCAGCATGCTAGCCAATCCAAATGTTCTGTCGTCATAAGATGAAATGAGAAACACAGCATTTACTGTGATCTGTTGGCAGGTCATGGGGGCAGACTGCTAAAGCACAGGGCACCTCTGATACGGTAAGCTGCCACCGACATCCCACTTTCCATGGTGTGCGGAAATCTCCAAATACTTAGGAAATTTTGAGACTTTTGGTTAATACAATGATGTAGGGACACTACTGAATGCCCTCCAATCCATGGAACATTTCTGCACGACGTCATTATAAAGAATTATTATATTTATTTTTAAAAATTATATTGCTGGTAGCCTATAGACAGATCAGCTGCAGCAGATGGCAATGAAGTTCAGGTGTCAACCCACCAGATGAATAATTCTCGGATGGAAAACCTGGTTCGAGCACGGCTTACAAGGCCACAGACACCGGGATATCATTTGCTTCTGTCTGTGATTCCTCTGTGTTATTACAACTTTCCCCTTGTCAGCTGTGGGAACTCCCCACTGCCTGTACTGTAATGTGTCTGTCTCATGATTACATCTCAGTCTTGTGGGCTTTATTATTATTATTATTATTATTATTATTATCCATTTGATATCTATGTTAGCGTATACGAGTTCGATGAATAAATAAGAATACAGAGAATTACTACACAAGTTAGGAATTATAAGTCCCTGAGAAAACTCTTTCATATCACAGCTCAGGCTGACATAAGAAAATAGTTGCATCTCCCCAGCTCTAAGACAACTAACTGTACCATTAGCTGATTTAATGCTTCACAGTAACTTTAGATTAAGACCAAGCGCCTTGCTAATGTGTTTATAGATAAATACTCCCTGTCTTAGTTCCCAAGGACAGACTGAGCTGTCTAGCTAGGTCATAAATACAAAACAGCCCAGTTATTGCTAGCTTGCACCCATTCCTGACCTCAATTTGTGGAAATATATTCTGACTAGTTAGTCAAAACTACAGAAAATAACTTGACTCTATAGCCCCTAATGAGGGCTGCAGGCGTTCTTAGACAATCAGAAGTTACACGCAGGATAGGAAAATATATTTCAAGATTCAAAACACTTTTTGTGTCACTGTGCCTTGGAAAATGACAAGTGGGCCTATATTCGGAGATATAAGGTAAAGTTAAGTTCCCACCAAAGCATTTATGACACAGCTCTCTTTTTCTGTAAGCACTTCAAGAAAGCCTGGCATTTCTGTTAATCACAAAATGTTAAAGATGGTACTACACTTAGAAATATAGGAGAGCACACAAATTCCTTAACTTTCTTAGACTCCTTTCTTTATAACTCTTAACCCTTTATAAGATTCTCTCTAAGTTAGATAACACGATGACTGATTATTTGCAGCTGCTCTTTACAGCCCATTAAGAAGCTAAGATGAATTACACGTGTATTCATCCAGATGGCTCTGTTTCTTATTGTTTTCTGAAATGCGACGTTAAAGTGTAACTCCTATACTCAACATGAAAGTTTCTGTTGGGTATATATAGCTGTAAGAACAGAGAAGGGGAGGGAGCCGAGAGGAGAAAATAGAGAGAGATACCATCAGAACAGGAGTGACTCTTATTCTATTCTAAAGGCCCTCGGATAAATAGAAAAATGTTCTAAACATGCTCCCCCACCTGAACATTCTATCTCAACCATGCAACAGCCTAGAAGCTGGTCTCACAGGCTGCGTTATTATATAACGGCTGTTACCTATTAATTTTATCTCAGAATAGTAAAGGAACAGCATAAAAGAAACTGAAAAAGTATGCTTATTAAAAAATCTTTAACATAGCCTGATGTGGTGGCACACGCCTTTAGTCTCAGCACTTGGGAGGCAGAGGCAGGTGGATCTCTGAGTTAAGGCCAACCTGGTCTGCAGAGTGAGTTCCAGGACAGCCAGGGCTACACAGAAACCCTGTCTCAAAAGTTTAACCTGAATCTAATCAAGACTTTTCAACAAATTTCCAATTTATAAAGCACTAAGATAAAGAAAGTAAAAGACATTACAATGATGTCGCTCAGCACAAAATAACAGTCACTTTTACAAATTTCTGTCCTGAGATAAATGTGGGCGGCTACTTAGAACACATGTAAGCCTGACACACTACGCCCAGCACAGGGGCTGCAAAGGTAAGTCAGTTCCCGTCCTCAAGTAACTTACTAAGAAATCTGTCCAACAAACTGAACCTGCTCTTTTTTAGAGGAAAGGAGACAGGTGGAGACAGGCTCTCTCCGTAGCCCAGGCCAGGAACGCCTGTCTGTCCTGTGATAGGACTACAGGCATGAGCTGCCACCACCTGCTGAGTTCTCGTTGTTTTTTTTTTTTTAAGGATAAAAAAAAGCAGGGCACAAAAAGACAATATATTGCAGCATTATTAGTACCATTTTTCAGCCTCCATGAGATCCTGATGCACGCTATTGGTACTGTGTTCTTTGCCATCAAAGGTCCTGATTCTGGGATATTCCGTTCTTCCCGCACACGCTGTTCGCATTTTTAAATTGAAGGCAGCTTGTGCTATCTGCTTGTAATGCTTCCTGTTGACCAGAATCTGCTGTTTCACCTGGGACAGAGCATCCAGGAAGAACTGTTCCACTTCCGACCTCTCGTCCAGTATGTTCTTAGCCAGCTTCTTCACGCGGTTCATTTCCCTGTCCTTCATCTGAAGGAGCTGCTGCAGCTTGTCAATTTCTACATGACCTGCTTGATTCTCGATCGCGGCCTTTTGCTGCAGTTTCAGGATTTCAGCCTCAAACTCTGTGGTCATATAAGTCAGGGCATTCTCCAAGCTTACCACCTTCTTCTGAAGAGTTTGGATTTGTGATTTCTGCTGGGTAAGTTGCATAATCTTTTCCTTGATCAACAGCTCATTGATTTCCTAAAAAACAGAAAGTGAGATTTTTTTTCTTTAAACATTCTAGAACTTAAAATCCCCTCAATAATTTCTTTTTTAAAAATTTTACTTATTTGTATTTTATGTATGGGTGCTCTGCATGTATACCTACATGCCAGAAGAGGGCATCACATCCTATTATAGATGGTTGGGAGCCACCATGTGGTTGCTGGGAATTGAACTCAGGTCCTCTGGGTAAACTGGAAGAACAGCCAGTGCTCTTAACCCCTGAGCCACCTCTCAAGCCTCCCTTAATAATTTCTATTACCTAAGGGGATCAGAGCTTCATGTTAGGCTGAGGCAATTATTTTCATATCTCTGTGTGCAGAAAAAGTAACAAACATCCTTGGGTCCTTGCCTAGGCTTAGGAAGGTAATCCACTGATTTTATTGATTAGGAAACTTTCAAACTTCCTCTATATTTCTTACAAGGCTATATATTTTATTTTATTAAAATCAATAAAACTGTACAAAAGCCACTAGTAAGTCTATAAAGAAAACTGTAGCAGACTCCTGGTTGTCTATCCTAACGTCCATTTTCCCTTTCCCTCAAGGCAGCTGGAAATCCAGGGTGCTTTGCAGTTCAGTGAGGACAAGTTGCAATATAATCGGATTTTTTTTTTTTGCTTTTTTCCCCCCAGATAGAGATCTCTGTGTAGCTTTGGCTGTCCTGGAACTCTCTCTGCAGACCAGGCTGTTTTCAAACTCAAGATCTGTCTGCTTTGCCTCCCAAGTGCTGGAATTAAAGGTGTGTACCACCACCACCACCACCACCACCACCACCACCACCTGGCTGTGATATGAGTGGAAATAGGACACCTGGGAAGATTTTTAAAGGAGCCATATTTTGTTGTTTTGTTTTGTTTTGTTTCTTATCTTTCCCTCTGGTTGTCTGGTGTAAGTAACCCTTAGGTCTCTCTCACCCACCCTGGCCATAAGGTGCTCAACATCCACAAACACTAACATGAAAACATGTTTAAGGTGAGGGCTGGAGAGATGGTCCCACAGCAAAGAGCACTTGCTATTCTGGCAGAGGAACCAGGTTCGGATCCCAGCACCCACATGGCAGCTCACAGCTGTCTGTAACTCTAGTTCCAGGGATCTGAAACCCTCTTCTGGCCTCCACAGACACTGCATGCACGTGGTGCACAGACATATATGCAGGCAAAACACCCACACACACAAAATAAAAATACAACTTTTTCCAATGTTAAGAATACACGATATATGTTACAGAGGATTAAGGAATGCAACCCTAATCTGGATTGCTTTTCTTCTTTTCTTCTTCTTTTTTTTTTTTTTTCAGAGCTGAGGACTGAACCCAGGGCTTTGAGCTTGCTAGGCACCACTGAGCTAAATCCCCAACCCCTGGATTGCTTTTCTTCAAGCATGTTTTAGGTAAAAGACTAATCTTTATGTTGTGATATCACTAATGTGAAGTCTGTTACAGCCAAACCAATTCCTAAATGATTTATGATCCAACAATAAACAAAACAAAGTGAGTATTGTAAGGTATTAGAGGATAAGTGTCGTGTTTATATTTCTGATGTATTTGTAAAATCATGCCTAATGTGTTTATAAAGTCATTTAGTAATTATCTTTTCACATAGATGGTTATGAAGACAGAAGGAAAATAGTATTACTGTCCTTGTCTATCATTATTATGCTCAATTCTTGGTATTTATTAACACAAACTTAAAAAAGAAAGAAAAAGAAAGAAAATCTAAATGAGAGTGGGAACCTTTTGATGTAAAAGGCAGGAATGACTTTCTTGCAATTTCGTGGAGTTTTTCTGTCGTATATCAGCTTCCTTCAAGTGGTATGTAAGCGCCTTGTGAAGAAACACGTTCTCTTTAAAAACATTTCTCCCAGCAGTATTCAATTGCCTGAAAGATACATATATATGTGTATATACATATATACACACATGTATATATATATACATTAATATATACATTTTAAAGAACCCAAAATATAGGCCTAAGTCTCTTGTGGGGTGTTCTGAGTAAGGGTCACTCTGTGTAATCCAGGCTGGCCTCAGATCACAGAGACCCACCTGTCACTGCCTCTGGAGTGCTGGAATTAAAAGCAGGCACAACCACACCTGCCTAATGCCTAAGTTTTAAATACTACCTAAGAGAACAATGGCAGCTTTTTCCTCCAAACATTATACTGTGTGGTGATGTTTTGTTTGTACTCTAACAAATAAAATTTGCCTGAAGATTAGAGGACAGAGCCAGCCACTAGATTAAACACAGAGGCCAGGCAGTGGTGGCACATACCTTTCTTTAATCCCCGTACTTGGGAGTCATAGGCCTTTAATCCCAGCACTTAGGATCTCATGCCTTTGTCCCAGTATTTGGGAAGCACACAGGCCAGTAATCCTAGCACTAGGAAGGTTGAGACAGCAAGTGATATGGCTGGGCAGAGAAAGGCATATAAACTGGGAGGAGACAGGAACTCGGCCCTTTGGACTGAAGACTCGGGAACACTCATGCTACAGGCCACAGGAGTATATTGTAAGAACTCAGCTGGTCATGGCAAAGCCACCACCTAAAGGGAGCAAGAAATTCCTTCAGAAGAAGCCTAAATCTTAGGGAGTATTTGGTGATATTTGGCTTTTTATATATCAGCTGTCTTCTACTGCAAATACCATGTGTGCCTTCACAGTTTTCCCAATTGATTTTTTTCCCTAAGAATTGCTAACAGTGTGGACTGATCACTCACTGGACATAATACATTTGAGGTATTTGGAGAACAGCCTCAGGAAAGAATTCCTTTTCTCAGGCCCATCTGTTTCTCCCTTTTTAGCACTGGAATCAGATATCTCCCTTTGCTACGTCCAAGACAAACAGAAATAACAATCCAGACCACCACATGCTAGTCTCCTGAATTAAGGTAAATTCCACATGGAGACACCGCCTGGGTCAGGTAGACCTTAAGTACATAGCTTCGTACAATTTAAGCTAGGACCCTCCTTTCTTATACAGCCTCACTAACATTATAGACTGCTAACTTCTTACCTAACCACTTCTAGGAATGTGGACTGAGCACATAAATTCCCTTTTTGATATACTAACTGATATTAGCTCTCAGCTGACCTCCTCCTTTAACCACTCCCTTTGGGTTATAAAAGAAAGTCTGACAGTCACTGCCTGAGGAAAGTTCTTACCTGCCTGTAATTCCCTGTAGGAATTCAAGCCTGGTGACCTAGCTGGAGGGGGAGGATTGCTATTGCTTGGGTTTATAACTGTAAACCTCAGAGACTGGAGAGAAGAATAAATCGATAGACTAAGAGCTCGGTGTGCTGAGATTCTTCTGAAAATAATTCTTGCCGTTCATAGCTTCTCTCCTGGGCCCCTGGAAAGAATATTGGGGGCTGGAGAGATGGCTCAGAGGTTAAGAGCACTGACTGCTGTGGTGGTAATCTAATTGTACTGAAATGTGATTTTGATTGTATGTTAATAAATAAAGTTGTCCGGGGGGTCAGAGCTATTAGAGCCATAGACAGAGTGTGGCGGTGGTGGCACACGCCTTTAATCCCATAGATCTCTATGTGTTCAGGGATACAGCCAGCATTGGAGACATATGCCTTTAAGACCTAGGGGGCTGTACATTCAGACAGTGACGAGGCAGTCACGTGTTTGGGTTTACAACCAATGAGAAGGCAGAATGACTGGAAAATGGATTTACAGACAGGAAGTAGCTCTCTTTCGCGAAGCTGGGACAGCAGGAGGAAGGGTGAGATTTTAGCTCTGAGCTCTGACCTCTCGGCTTTCTCTTTTACATTGTTTCTGTGTTTCTTATTTAATAAGACGGTTGGTTACATCTACAGACTGCTCTTCCAGAGGTCCTGAGTTCAGTTCCCAGCAACCACATGGTGGCTCCCAACCATCTGTAATGAGATCTGGTGCCCTCTTCTGGCCTGCAGTCATACATGCAGTATACATAATAAATAAATAAATCTTAAAAAAAAAAAAAAAAAGAATATTATTAAGGCTGGTCCTTAATAACATTCGAGACATTAAGTCTGAGGATTTGTGGAGACAGGATCTTCCTCTTTGGGCTGAGGAACTGGGGAGGTAAGAAGTGGCTGTGGCTTGTTTCCTCTGATCTTTCAGCATTTACCCTGATATCTGGCTCTGGGTTTTTATTATAAGACCAATTAGGATTCCTGCAACAATGCTTACCACCACTAGGCTGGGTTTGTAGTTCAGGGAGAGAATACATGCTTAGTATGTGCAAGTCCCTGGGATTAACTCCTAGCACCAGAGTTTTGGGGGAGGGCAGAACATGGGACACACAGGACACTACCACAATTTAATTTATGAGGAGTAACTACTCAATAGGGAGGTGGAGACCTTGACTAAGTTCTTCCTCAGCAGTAAGTGGAAAACTATGTGTTAGCTAGTCCTGATGGTACAAGTTGGCCGACAACTTGAACTATAGCAAGACCCTGTCTCTTAAAATTAAAAAAATAAGCCGAGCGGTGGTGGCACACGCCTGTAATCCCAGCACTTGGGAGGCAGAGGCAGGCAGATCTCAGTGAGTTCAAGGCCAGCCTGGTCTACAGAGCTAGTCCAGGACAGGCTCCAAAGCTACAGATAAACCCTGTCTCGAAAACCCCCCCAAAATAAAAGCCAGGAACAATGGCATGCCTTTACCTAGCATATACAAGGCTGGCCTGGGCAGTTTTGCAAGACTGTTTCAAAGTGAAGGGAACTCTGCGGACAGAGCTCCGGGTGGAATGGATGTGCCACTGTGGGTGTTCAATCTCTAGCACCTCACCCACAGGAATGTGACACCAGCCTCCCATGTCTTCTTCTATCCATGTCCATATGACGACCTACAGAACTCCACGCTGACAGAGGCAGAAGACAGGAGCAGCCCAAGTTCCTGAATCACTCCCTGAAGAAAGCTGCCAGACTCATCATTACATTAACAAGAAAGAAACCATCGAGACCTGGGGTTCAGTGTTAACATAAACACATTCCAATGCTGTTACACAAATATATCTTCTGACAACCCCACAAAGTTGCTCTAGGGCCTTATTTTAGGTTTGTTTGTTACAGGGTCTCACTGTGTAGTCTAGGCTGGCCTAGAACTGATGAAGCTCCTCTCTCAGCCTCCTAAGCACTGGGATTATTTTAAGTGTGTGCCACCATGTCTGGATGGCCTATTTTTTTTCATAAAATTTATTTTCTTAAGAGTTCTTTCAACAGGCCAGAAGATCCCAGCACTAGGGAGGCAGAGGCAGATGGATCTCTGTGAGTTTGAGGCCAATCTGGTCTATAGAGTAGTTTCTAGGACAGCCAAGTCTACACAAAGAAACTCTGTCTCAAAAAAAGATTCTTCCAATGAGGCCAACGAGATGGCTCCATGGGTAAAGGCACTTGCCATCAGTCCTAAGACCTGAGTTCTATCCCTGGAACCCACATGGTGGAAGAGAGAACCAACTTTCTGCAAGTTATCTGACTTCACACTCAAATTACGGCACTACTGTAGCCTCAAATACACCCACCGACCGACCTACCTAAATATAATAATTAAAAAATCAATTTTCCAGTGGTTAGAGCTGGAGAGATGGCTCAACGATTAAGAGCACTGGCTGCTCTTCCAGAGGTCCTGAGTTCAATTCCCAGCAACCACATGGTGGCTCACAAACCACCTATAATGAGATCTGGTGCCCTCTTCTGGCCTGCAGGCATACATGCAGGCAGAACACTGTATGTGTAATAAATAAATTTAAAATATATATATATTTTAAGAAAGTTTGCCAAGAGACAGAGGACAATAAGCTAAGAATAAACTAGAGAGCAAAGAAGAGAGGCTGAATGACAGAGGAAGCAACAGGCTCTTACACCACAGCTTCATGGTGCGCTCTCTCGGCCAGCATTACTATCCTCTTCTCGGCCTCTTGTTCCAGACGGTGCTGAAAAAAACACAATATGGGAGGGTTACATACAAAACCATACTTCTAAAACAAGTTTCTCATGTCACAAAGTAATTACTTCAGCATCAAACAGAATTCTTCACTGGGGGCTGGAGAGATGCTTCAGTGCTTAAAAGCCGTTACTGCTCTTGCACTGGACTGGGTTCAGTTCCTGACACCCCCATGGTGGCTCAGAACCATCTCTGACTTCAGTTCCAGGGGATCTGACACTGTTGTAGAATATTATTTTAAGATGTGTTACATTTGCTGGGCGGTGGTGGTGCACACCGTTAATCCCAGCACTCGGGAGGCAGAGCCAGGTGGATCTCTCTGAGTTTGAGGCCAGCCTGGACTACCAAGTGAGCTCCAGGAAAGGCGCAAAGCTACATAGAGAAACCCTGTCTCGAAAAACAAAAAACAAAACACACACACACATACACACAAAAAAAAAATGTGTTACATTTGTTTACAAATGCTGTGGAATGTTTGTTTTAGTGATGCAAAGATGTTTTGCATTCTTTTATGTTGCATTTGTTTAACTCTGTGAAGCTGTGCTACTTTGCCTGTCTAAAACACCTGATTGGTCAAATAGCACTGAACGTCCAATAGCAAAGCAGCAGAAAGAGTTGGTGGG